CCCTACCTAACACCATGCATGTCAACAGTTTAACGGCTCCATACTGCTAAACCACAGAAATACATGTTGCTTTTTTCTTGCTTTGTTCCCAAACTACAAGATAAGGGGTGCTCCTTAGAAAATCTGCTAGATAGTGTTTAGAAGCTATTGTTAGCAGTGTTACAGGCAGTATAAGAAATCACAGGAAATATTTATGAAGCTATCTCATTCTAGTTGTGACAGAAAGAACAGTGCTATCGTGTACATATATGTTGTTAGACGAAACGTCGGCTTGTTAACACTCCAAATACGTCATTTCTTGAAGGCAGTGATGTAGTAAAAGCCAGAGAAAAAGATCGTCGCTTTCTTTTCTGTGACGCAAAGTTACGCGGTTAACAAAGGTATTATTATTATTAGGCTCAGGTGGCATACGTCCCAAAGACGAATGTTGAACAAATGTTATCGAAGTGCTTCGATAGCGAGACAAGGACGTGATAAATGGTATTGTGTGATTGACACAGGGTGGATAGAATCAAGGGAAGTTAAAATGTTGCATGAATTGACAGGAATTTTGCAAATGACGTTTGGTTAAAACAGACAGTAAGAAAGTGCAAATAAGGTTAGGAGATTCCAGCACTAGAATGTGACAGTGAGATTGTGTGACAAACAATAAATGGCGTGACAATGTAAAACGTGTATGTACCTGTTTTATGAACAAGATATTCATGAGCGAGAGGTTCGTGTGACTCTCCACTAATATCGAACACTTTGGGCGCTGTCCTCTCCACAATCCTCTTGGGAGGGGCTGCACTGGTGTATAGAGTTCCCGAAGAGTGGCTCAGTTCTCCTGGGGCCAGTGACTTGGCGTTGTAATTCGCTATCTCTTTATACACTTCCGTCGGCGACACACCAGCAAGACCCGGCATGGGGACCAAGTGCCCTTTAACGTGTTGGTGAGGTGGCGGCCGCACCTTGTCTGGTTGGAACATGTCAGTGAGTAGCGCTACTTTGGAGCGGACATTGCCTTTCTCTGGAAGCGTCTCCGAGTCTTCAATAGTTTTTCGCCCGTCCAAGTCGAACAGGTCTACATCGTTCGCTGATTTATTGTTATTGAAATCATACGTAACAGGCCCTCCTCTAAGCTTACCAGAAGTCGTTGTGGTCCATTCGTCAGCGACTGCTAACAATCCGTTCGTGCCATTATGTGGCGCAGAGTTGTAACCCACGGTTGTGTGAGTGACCGTGGTAGCTTTTAAAGTCCTGGGCATCATTTGAGTAGCATAAAATTTCGGCGATAGTGGCGACACTGGCGGGGATGTTTGTGACAAAGGTGCTTCGTGTAACACAAACAAAGGTGTCTCACCTACAGATAAACCGTTAGACATCTGTTCCGTTCTTGGATTGCCATTCCATGAGCTGTTTTGTGAATAAGGTGGTGGTACCACTGGGCTCCGAGAGGGTGTGCCTTGAGCCTGTCTTGAAGCACTTATCCTATTTTCAAGGGGTGCCTCTCTCCTATTATACCGTACCCCTGCTTCAAAGCTCGCCTTCTGACGCACCGGAGGTCCCGGTGGGGTGGTAGTTCCATTTGAGGATATTGGTCCACCTTTGGGGACGCGGAAATTGTGCGATTCCACGCCTCGTGTGACGGGACGAGCTTGCTGCAGCGTTGAATCCAGGAGTTCTGAGCACTCTCCAAGCTCTTGTAAAAGCTTTTCAATCGATTTAACTTCACTATTCAACCCATCCCCACCATCTTGCTCCATTTTTCCGTTGGTGTAATGAAGATCGGGTTTGTTTAACCTACAATCCGCACTGTCCTTGTTTGTAAATCCATAAGCATTTCTCCGATTCAAAGTGTTTGCCCTGTTTTCAAAGAAGTTAAGATGGTCTCCGCCTCTCGATCGTGCTCCACTATCAAGGCTCATAGAACGTACTTTCTTCTTGAATGCCTTGTCCACTTGAGCGTAGAGGTGTCCATTCACTGGACCAGCCACGTACTCTGGGGGAGGACCTAAACAAAACAGAGATATTTCAGTATAGACTAACTAGACCAACCACGTACTCTGGGGGAGAAGCTAAATCACAACAAACATACTTTAGGTATTTTACAACTTACTACTACATCGTAACATTGTAGTCACAGACTCGGGTTCACTCCACAGACAAGCTACAACAATCTTGTTCGCCACAACAAACTGAACCATATGAAAGTACTGCGCAATAGCTTTCATTTGAATGGCCACACACTAGGGTTTTATACACAGACTTAAAAAGTTAGAACCACCTTGTACAGCATAATAAACAGTACCACATTAACATATTGCTAAATAGCTTTCATTTGAATGGTCACACACTAGGGTTTCATCCACAGACTTAAAAGTTAGAACCACCTTGTACAGCATAATAAACAGTACCACATGAAAGTACTGCTCAATAGCTTTCATTTGAATGGTCACACAGTAGGGTTTTATCCACAGACTTAAACCACCTTGTACAGCGTTCTAAACAGCACCACATTAAAGTACTGCTCAATAGCTTTCATTTAATTAAACAGTCAACCTTTCAATTCAAGAAAACAGTATTAGTAGCAAAAGGAAGATAAGGCTTGAAATCAAATTATCAATTTTATGACCTCTTTGACATAACGATTGTCCCTAGATATCTGTCTGTAATTCGCTTTTGATCCTTCGCAGAAAAATCCCACACTCTTATGTGTCTTTTAAACCTCTGGATGTCAAAACGGCCACACCTTACCTCGCATAGAGTGCTTCACCGTCCTGTAGCCATACGCAGTTTTACGCTGCATGAAACAGTTAGATATTCAGGCCTTTACCACCTACTACGTGCTCTCCGTACGTGCTAAGACACACGAGGACGGCGTTAAAACAGACGCGAAATTGATACCAGACAGGTTGTTCAGACGGAAGACAATGCAGTGATCGACATTAAAGCAAACTAACAAAATAAGCGAGTTTATTACCCTTAAAACGATGACAAGATGTACAATTAATTATGTCTGGTTTGCCACGAGTGGCTTTAAAAAGTGCACAAAAATAAACGAACGAGGGGAAATGCTATCGGCTTTCTGTGAACTGCTCTGGCTCCTGCAATCGTAACTTACTGTAAAATATTAGGCACACTAAAATCATTGCAAGACATCAATTTTTTCCCTCTGGTGCACGTAGAAACCCCACGAAAGCGCTGCTTTGGAGCGTGGAAATACAATACGAGTGCGGAAATCTTTTTCGGTTCAAGGTTAATTGGAACCATTTTGGATTGATATCAACAATGAGTGATAAGCAATATGAAATTCGAATGGAAAAGCACGATAAGGCAAAATCAGATAGAGACCTGATATTCAACAATAGCAACTGGCGTCTTTTTTCAAAACAGCCAATTGAAAGATCATCGAATATTCTTTGCACTGTAAGACATATGTCTGAAGAGTTCCAAGAAATAAGAAAAAAAATCAATGTGCTCGCAATTCAAAACAGATCTTGGACCTGACTACATATGTTAACGAATAATCCGTCTTTCTCCGGAAATCGCCTTAAGTTTTCTTCAGGGTCGCTTGGCCAATGGCAAAAACAAGACTGCCATGCGCCGAGCGGTTTAGCTTTTCTGGCTCGGATTAAAGTTCGTTTAAACGTCCTTAATTCCATCAGCCGGCGCCAGGCTCCAGTTCAAAAAACAATTCTCCTTTTTCCCGTCGATACAACTCCTAAGGAGAGAAGAGATGTCCATCTGAGAGAACCTGAAGTCGTTTAGGAACTGCAATGAAATTTTCCATGGTTGTTTTTGCTCCGAGTTCTGTCGGACTTGTAGACCCTCTACGTAGGTGTAGTGTCCCACTTTCAAGTGGACGTTCGAAATCTAAAATCTCCTCACGGCTTTTATACAATTCTTTTTAGCTGAGTGCTGAGAATATGATGGTAAATAAAGAAAATACCACCTGGTTGAATTTCGCTTTTCTCATCACCTGCTTGGTTCAAAATGCATTGGCATTATGAGGAGAAATTAGCTGTGAATCAATTTTAGAGCGGAAAGGCTGGGTCAAACCACACAGACATTAACAGATGTATTGTGGATTATCATGTTAGACACAAGAAAAACAAAACTCTCAAAGCCTTCGGAGGTCACTGAACTGTCGTACCTGATAACTGCAAACGTGTTTCTTGCTATAACAATACTGGGAAATCATCTCGACTTTTGGAATGTTGTTGATAGATGTTTAACAAGACGGCGGAAGATGGCGATGGCAAAAATTAATCCCGTCACGAAGCATTTTTGTTCAGGAAAAATTGGAAGGTTTGGTGCTCGGTCGTAATGCAACAACAACTCTCGTTATCCAAGGCATTTTAAGTTTCCTGCAGGGGGTAATAAACACTTCAGGCTACATGACGGAACGCAAAACAGGTTGGACGGAAAAATAACGCTCTGAATGAACGCACAGAGAAGACAAGAACAGGGTATTAGTCTACAAACATAGCTGACTGTATGACCAGAGAATTTCAAATTTTTCAAACGGAGGAAGATTGGATTTCAACAAAACGAAAGCAATTCTGACAATTTTGGTGAGACAAATTGAAGATGTGATGTCTATTGCTTGCATATGTTGAGATGTTTTTCAGATCCAGACGAGCGCCAGAGGTCAAACCACTTTTTGTGTAATTATTGTTTATTGAGAAAACAACTGCGGAACAATAAATCATGGACGGATGCCGGCGATGATTTCAGGCAAAGCAGTGGAATCACGTACTTGCGGTGGAAGAATTTTGCAAAGGACACACTAAAAGGAGCTCAGTCACGGTATTTTGGGTTATTTTGGCCACGTACAAAATTACCTTTAAATTGAAGGAAACCTGAAAATAATAGTTTGCTAACATAGAAAAATATCAAAGAGATAATAAGTAACCATACAGGAACAAGGATGGTTGAGGATGGAGAAGATTGACACGGATTAAAAACGACGAACTTGAAAATGTTTGGCTTAACTTTTCAAGATGCGCGAACCGTGTAGTAGCTTCTTTAAGTGCTTCACTACTAGCTCAAGGTAGAAATTCTCTCAACTGAGAGTCATATATTTCACTGTTGATTAAATTTGAGAATTTGGTATTACATCAAGAATACGTCTCGTAATTGATGATTTTCTCTGTTCTCAATACCTGTCTACTAGACAACGAACTAATTTCAGAAAGAGAATTTTGATTTTAATCCCAAACCACTAAAATACTATGGCACGTTTAGAAGCATCAAGGGATGACAGCATTAGCTGAAATAAAATTACCACAATTTCAGCGCTTTTGCATGTTCTTTCTTGTCGTCTGGGTAAAACACTTTTTTCAAATACTTGTTCAGTAAAAACGTGTACAACTTAGAGACAATGACCTTTCGAAAATGCCATAAATAAAACAAATTCTTGTGGTACAAGCTTGTATGCATTGTGGAACTAGTTAGTACTAAGATTCGAGTTTTTAAACGAAACTCAAATAAAAATTAAAATGAAAGTTAATCATGGGATAAATTTTGTGGTGTTGTTCATAATTGCGCTAAGTGATTGTATTGAAAAATTATGTCCATTAAAACATTCCTGCGGTGAAGTTTATTATGTTGTACAAGGCTGTTCTAGTGTTTTTGTTTGTACACAAAACCCAGAAAGTGCGACCATTCAGATGAAAGCTATTGAGCAGTTCTTTCATGTGGTACTGTTTATTAAGCTGTACAAGGTTGTTCTCACTTCTATATCTATGGTCAAATACATTTTTGGGGTGGTAGCCCAAACTATCAGTAAAAGTTATTTAGTCATAACTGAGCCCACGTATGTGTGATTCGCCTGAAATACTCCCTCATAAATTCCCTCCTTATAGTACACACAATCAACAAAGGTCAAAGATAAAAGGGAGAAAGACACTTACGTTTCACAATGTCACTGCTTCCTTTTGGAGCACTGTCTTGGCTCGTGTAATCTGTTTTCTTGTAATCTGAAGAGAAGAGGATTGAGGGATTTCAGTATAAGTGAATGATATACGCTTGTGGTATAAGACACAATCAGAAATAAACTTGCACTATCATACACGAAAAAGCAGTCTTCCCACACGGAATTTTGGCGTACAACCCAACGAAAGCTTGCGGGCAAATATTAAAAACATTTTTGACTAATTGAGTTAATCCACCACACCAAATTTTGTTTTGCAGAGCGTTAGGCGAGATTCTGTAACTGCCAACCTCTCCAGTGAAAACAGAACTCTAAAGTTCAGTCAAGAACAGAGTCAAAAGCCAGCGAGAACGATAGCAATCTTTTACGTAGTCGCTACTCGAGATCGCCGCGGTCGAGCAGCTTTATTTTAGTGAAGATGAAGATAAATACACGGCATTCTTTTTCAACGTTATCTCACGCGCAATTCGTATTGACCGCGGAGTGAAATAAAACAAGTTAACAACTGACAAGTCAACTTACAGTACGGTGGATGACCAAGCACACCGTTTCGTTCGAAATTTATGGGGGCAAGCACCGCCATACGAGGACAATAATAAACTCACCACCGACAACAAAACTTTGCTGTGTTCAGCTCGAAACGAATACCTTCTTGGCGGTAACGTAACCCGATCTTACAAACCATTCGGAGAATTTCTGATTTGCAGATCACGAAGACACCAGATAAAAGCGCGTGGATTAATTAACCACTGCGCGAGTTTCAACAAAATGTTGCCATAAAAAGATTGACGTACACGGGTCAGGATTCACGTGCCCATTGCTTCCTCTTTGAATTTCCGATCCAATTGTGAGATCTACGCCATTCGACGCCCTCACTACCGTATCAGCACACTGGTAACTGATTCCCGTTTGGGACGGCCGGGTCACTGTTATGCGCACATTCCCACGGCAAAATCATTACCGTTCTTACACTAATAAACTTAATACCGCCGACATTATGAAATAATCTAAGACGGCCACCAAACAACTATATTGATGAAACCGGGTACATTAACCTTGACAGATAGAACCCGTCGCTCGATCGCGTCCGTGTCATCAAGTTTATAGAGAAGCAATAGAAACAACGTTACATCGATCGATTGCGCGACGGGCAACGCGTAAATCGATCACAAAAACGTTCACGCCGTTTGTGATCGGTTTTAAGAACGTCTTTTTCTGCACAGCATAACATGACCGCGTCGTAGTCATTACCAAACAAAAACAGACACAAATATTTTCCAAGATCTAGCTACGCGACCTGCTAACAGCAAATCCAGGCTGGTTCGCCTTGTTTTCCTGGGATCCAGCGTCGCGATTTCGGCAATGTCACCCGCCTTGATGTCTCCCAAGCGCTAAGCTTCGCCTCCAAAGCAGCTCAGTTAAAAACCAACAGAAACAAGTCGACTGCAATCGCTACAGCAGATAATCCTTCCGTGTGCGTAAAATCGGCGCGCGAAGATCGAGGGCATATCACAATGAGCCGATTGATGCTTATGAAATTCAACGCCAGAGCAACTGAACGCCAATAAAATAAAAGACAAGCAAAATTACGCGGGGGCGACTATCAGCAGGTCACGCGAGAGCGTAAACCAAACGAAGCATGGATACGAACCGAACCGCTCAAAGTGAAATGAAATCGAGAATCCACTAAGGCAATCGTTTGTGCCTATTGCGGCAGTTATACAATCAAAATCGTACATGACAGAAGGAAATATCTGCTTTTATCAATGGTTTTTGACAGACACGCGCAGCAACTGATGGTTTCAGTCAAAAACTTAACAAACCGCACGCTACAGTTATCTAAGATATGCCGATGAAAAACAGTGATTTTGCGGGAGATAAGGGGTTTAAACGCTACATGTGCAAACTGACCGCTATTGCCTGAGAGAAAATAATATGTCTGTGGCTAGACTCGACGAGTTCTTCCTGAGAAACAATTCGCGAATTTCAAACATGAAGCTCTGTTACCTAGAGCAATGATACCCGAGAGAAAATTTTCACCAAAATTACAAGGATATCCGCATGTGCGACAACAGAGAATTGACGCCATGTAACATGATGGAAAACAGAAGAGTAGAAGCCGGGAGATATAAAAGGAAACAAGAGCACACAATGTCACAAAATTAACTCCACACCACGAAGATATTCAATCCTAGAGGCGTATGCACCCATTACAAACATTTCCTGTCGTTAATGATGACAAAATTCTGCAAATATTTTTT